AAAAATGCTTCTACAAACAAAGTTTCATCTGCAGATATGGTCTTTTTTAGGGATCTCTGTCCCTTTGTGCATACAGACATCTGACTGCTAAGTAGTGATTGTGTTTTCCAGCAATAGTGTGCACCCTTAAATTACAGAGAAAAGAAGGTCAGGGAAAAATCTGTAGATGGAAAAATCTGCATACAAGTTCTTTGTGCATTTTTCTTCTTGTTACTGTTTATTTACTATTTATTCAAGTTTTTTAAGGTATCTAATATTTTGCTACTTAATTTCCATGATCTAAATATTCTTAAAAAATTTAAATTTAAAGTTGGTTGTCATTTGGAAGTGTGTAGGCATTCTTACATTATTATGCTCTTACATTATGATTATATATTCAGTGGCATAAAATGGTCTTTAAAATGACAATAATATCGCTTATCGCAATTATTTCTGGGGCAATATATCACACAACAAAAAGTTGTTATTGTGACAGGCCTAGCTGTGTCCTACGCTGTGAAAATTAATTTTTTATTTTCACTTCCGAAAGATGAGGCTGCAAAGAATCAGTGGTTTGAATTCATTTAGCAGTACAACCCCAAACCTTTTTTGTGTTCCCGTCAATTTACTGCCGACTGCTTCTCTAATCTCAAGGATTCACAAAACGCTTGCTCTTGAATGATGGCTCAGTACCCAGTTTATTTGAACCAACCTGTAAGTACGATAAATAATAGATGTTTATTTCTGTCGAGCATTTAAAATACGGAACTATGGCAATGGGCGTATCGTTTCCGTCACACTCGGTACGCAGTAGACCAATCACAACAGACTGGGCCATCTGACCAATCAGAACAAAGTAGGCTCACAGGTAGGAGGGGTTTAAAGAGACTGAATCTTAGAACTGCTTTGAACGAATCGTTTGAGAATCGTTGGAAAATGAGGTGATATTGAATGCATATTTTGAGAAAATGAAAGCATTTTTTCACTTTGCATGCATGCAAACCTATTGTAGGAGACACTCAAAACAATATTAACTCCCTGTATATAAACATAATATAATATGTTTACTCCCAAGTTATTTCATCTATAATGTTCTCTAAACGTTACCACAAAAATGTTATATATTGTTGGAATGTTCGGAAGATGGAATGTTCCCTTAATGGTCATATAACCAAAAAAAACAAAAAACTTTTTAAACACATAAAAACCTAGATGTTTGACCGTTCAGAAATAACTACTTCCTAACTCAATAGGAAAAATTAGCAACACGTTCTTAAAGCATATCTTTGTTAACTGGGATGCTGGGATGTCTTTTGAATTATACAGTCTACCATTAGAGACTAACATAGTAATGTTAACCAGTTAAATTTTGATCTATTTAAAATGGTTGTAGGTTTTAAAGTACTATGTATATTATGTGTGAAACTGATGGTTTATCTTTATCTATGCTTTTTAATTCTTTTGTGGCTGCATAGAATTATGGGATATGTAGTTTTTATCACACAAGAGTGTTGCCTCGTAAGCTGGCTATAAGTGAGTAGTACTTTGACAACCTTTGTTGCTTTTCTTCATCAAAATGCATATAAACGAATTTGCATAATCACATTTACAGTCCTCTAAATATCAATAGCACTTTTCTTTCACAGCAATTCTTTGTTTACAACCCCAATTTGGAATATTAGGCATAAAGATAATTCCACTGGTAACTAGGATTCTATGCTGGTGCCAACCACATTCATTGACTCATTGACATGAGTAGAAGGAAGCATTTAACCTCTGTTTGAGACCTGTAACTTTCCTTTGACCTCCAGGCTGTAGTTTACCATTAATTTTCCCAGTTTCACATCTGTTCAGTTCCTCATCATTCAGTTTTTCTTTTTGTAAAACATCAATCTGTACTTCCATTCAACCTCATAAGACATGTTGATCGATTCTAGGTGAAACATTAATCCTTGTTTTAAAAACTCTCAGTAAAATGATGTAACCCACTCTGTTTTCCACAGAGCTCTTGTTGCAGAAAGCACATTTCCTTGAAAAGAAAAAGAAGACAAATGCAAGAACCCACAGGCACACAAAACAAGAACTAATCCCTGACCTGACAGGCAGGAGAGGAAAAGCTATGAATTAATCTAAGAGAAAGATCACAAATAAAATCAGCCTAGTGGTGATCGTTCACTGGCAGGCAACTGTATCCCATATGTCTCTCTTCCTCTGAAGAAATGGAATGAAATTGCAGAGCGCTATTGAATGTAATCATACATTTGCTAAAGAGTGTGAGAGAGGCAGTCACATCCCATAACAGACTAATCTATATCCCTTAAACGCTGCCCGGCTGTCAAGAAAAGGAGAAAACGGGATCATTTAGGAATTTGTGCTGAGTCAAGTGTTTTCCTCCATAAAAGAGCCACACTGAAGAGCTGACAGCGATGACCTCCACCTGTCACCTCTTATAACAACCAGAAACAAAGTGTTTCTTGTTTTCTTTATTTAAGAATGAGTCATGCACTGATTGAAAGCACTAATGTGAAAAAAATGAACCAATGATTGTCTTGCTGTTCACCAGCACGTACAGTATCATCTTGGTCCTTTTCCTTTCACTAGTTGCCATGTGAATAAAAAAGTTATTGGTGCCAATAAACAATGTTGATCTGTTCTTCACACAAAGCCATCAAATGATTATTAAAAACAAAAAACCGGCGACTGGTCAATCAGATGCTATAGTGACTATAAAAGGAATAATGTGTTCATTAGGCATCGCTAGTAATGACTAGTAATGTCATTGAAATAGAAAGACTGAAATAGTATTTATTATTAAAACGTTCTCTGATAATCTTTGAAACATATTTTTTTTTACAGTGTATGATGGAAAGGATACACCAAGAAGCCTTGACGGATTTTACACAGAATGTGAGCTGTGTTAGTGTACAAACTGTGCCCATTCGACCAAAAGCGCTGCCTCATAATTTGACTTTTTTTAAAGGTGAAAATATTTTCAGTGTTCCTCCGCACTTTGATTACAGTGTATACTTCGTCATATCCATACTGAATAGTGAGCGGAGGGGTGAAACCAGCCCCGCAGAGACGGCGTTCCGATGAGGGGGAGTCATTACAAATTCTTTTTGATATAGGAAATGTATTTGAATATCTTTCAAGCTGTCCCACTCCCAATTTTTTCATATATTATTTAAACTTAAGTTTGTCGTTGCGGGGTTTGATTTTGCAGTGTACAAAGAATTCACGCTAAACAAGCATTTTCCAAAAAAGAAAAATTACCTCTTGGCCTCATATACATCGAAATGTCGTTATGATCTGAAAGCAGCCGCCCACACTGTCTCCGACTGTGATTTTAAACTTCAGGAGACGAAATGTGGGATTGTGGGTGTTTGGATTGAATCCCTGTCCATGTGTCTATTCTTGTCATTTTTAGCAGTTTTTTCGTAAAATACAATCAACTAAATGATGCCATCAAAGGAAATTTAGGTAGCGTTTAACACTAAGCGTAAATAACTAAAGGTAATAGAGTTTTAGCAAGGTGAGCACATTCAGGAAATTCATGTGATATTTACATCTAGTCAGCCAAGCTAAAGTTTTTGCAGTATTCTAACTCCAACCAGCTCCAAGAAAATCAACACATGGCTATATAGATTTTGTGGATTGTGTCTTGCTTGAAGCAATTAATGAAAGAATTAACACAATTACAAATAAGTTATTAGGCATACAGTGGAGTGCATAAGTGATCTTTTTATGTACCTGTGAGTTAGATGTATTGCCTTTTCAAGACAAATACAGATTACTTTTTTTCTTTCTTTAGTTGGGCATACAGAAACATAATATTTTAACATTAATAATAATACTAATATTTTTATTGTTATTTGTGCCATTATATTTATGCAAATTAAAAAATATCTTACTTAACCTCTAATTAACATTGGCTGTTTTTCTGTAGAGACCCACTAAATGGTGACATTTATCAATAGAGATATTACAGAAAGAATAGCTGATAGTTTAATAAATCTGATAAATGAAGTAAAGAAGTTAATGGTCAAACTACTATACTGTTACTGGTCTATCTCTATTTGAAATAAATAGAAACATTTTAAAACAAAAAAAAAGAATTATGATGTGAAATGAAGAATAAAATAAATATAAAATATGAAATTAAAATATAATATTTGCACTATTTTTAGGTCACTATCTCTACTTGACAAACATAAACATTAAAATCCAAGAAGACTGATGTGAAATTTGTAAATATAATATTCAAATATGAAACTAAAATAGAAATATCATGCAGTCTTATTTAGTTCACTATTCGAATAGAAGCAAATATGTTGCACAGACAAAAAGGGGGTCAAAACCAAATACAAAAGAGATTTTAAAATGTGTATTAGGTTAAAAAAAAAAAATATATATATATATATATATAAGCACTAGTGGTTTCTAACTATACTTGATATCACAATGAAAATTCACTTTTAGATTCAATCCAGAAACGTAGAGACCCACTAAATGGTGACATTTATCAATAGAGATATTACAGAAAGAATAGCTGATAGTTTAATAAATCTGATAAATGCAGTAAAGAAGTTAATGGTCAAACTACTATACTGTTACTGGTCTATCTCTATTTGAAATAAATAGAAACATTTTAAAACAAAAAAAAGAATTATGATGTGAAATGAAGAATAAAATAAATATAAAATATGAAATTAAAATATAATATTTGCACTATTTTTAGGTCACTATCTCTACTTGACAAACATAAACATTAAAATCCAAGAAGACTGATGTGAAATTTGTAAATATAATATTCAAATATGAAACTAAAATAGAAATATCATGCAGTCTTATTTAGTTCACTATTCGAATAGAAGCAAATATGTTGCACAGACAAAAAGGGGGTCAAAACCAAATACAAAAGAGATTTTAAAATGTGTATTAGGTTAAAAAAAAAAAATATATATATATATATATATAAGCACTAGTGGTTTCTAACTATACTTGATATCACAATGAAAATTCACTTTTAGATTCAATCCAGAAAGAGAAAAGTACGTATAGATCAGTTTTAGAAATAGATTACATATTTTGATATAACAGTAAGCACAGGTAAGCGTTATATAAGTCAGGTATACATGTTTGCAGTGGTGGGAGACAAAAGACTTTGTTCTTTTTGGGGGGCTCGTCATTATTATCAGTATCCGAAAAGCTAAAGTAGGACCAGCCTAGAACTGTATTCTTGCCCTGTGAGCTGCTTTGTAAATGAGCTGCCCCGTGGATCTGTTTCTCTGCCGCCCGTCAAATGTTCTCTGTCTTTCCCAGAGTTACTAAAGGAGCTGTTCTGCTCTGCCTATCAAATCCTGCTTAATCTCTCTTTAAGAACACAGCCTTTCATCTCTCCAGCCCCTCATGGGAGAAACCCATTTAGGACCATCACCGTAGGGTCATTCCTTAAGGTCGAAGAAGACGTGCTGTTAGATGCACAGCACTCTCGCCAAAGTGACAGTAAGGACGGCATGTGTCCTGATATTAACCGAGGACAAAGAGCCATCTGAAGTGTCACTGGTCTGTGTTCTGATGGGAGGTAAAGGCCATGCGGTGCATCTGAAAACTCTTGTATATATAAACATTTAGATGTGGCTGACAAACACAATCGGACATGCAAACTGATTTTACAGGGTTTCTGGGGGTCTTAAATGGGTCTTAAAATGTCTTTGGTCTTCCACAAATTAAGGCCTTGAAGAGATAGTTCACCCCAAAAATAAAAATTCTATCATTTATTCACCGTTAAATTAATTCTTCT